TTTAGTGACTACATATTCTGAAATAGTGCTATTAAATCGCTCTCCTGTGAACTTTTTTACTGGTCCAGAATGAAATAAGATGTTTGTTCCAGAATGTAAACCAGCACACTATTTTATTCACCGAGAAAATCTTGCCATGAAAAAGATGTTGACTGAACGTAACAGTGCTTCGAGATGTAGTTGATTCGCATTCTGGTGTAAGGTTTTTAACATGTACACATGTCTGTGAACCACATTTGAGTAGCACCATCTAAGGTGCTTTATGAAGTTGAATAAATGAATGATATACTATGATGGATTAAATGGCTTTTCGGGGTAGAGGTGGCAGAATGGAGAGAAGGATGGCAAATAAATAAAATAGTATCTTTCAATGGGGGAATGTTCCTTCCCTGCTTTTGAGCTGCTACAAGGAAAGATGGTTATTCAAGGCCCAAATAGCCTTGTGGGCTACTATCATTTCCTGTCAAACTCATTTCCCCATCTTGCTTTTTGCTCTTCTTCCTGTTAACTCTGGCATGGGGTTTAAAGAAAGGAAAATAATATATGGAGGGCTCATTGTATGGTCTGTTTTACACACAATTAAATACAATTCTCACAAATGGGTGAGGAAGTATTGTCCACTTTGTAAATGTGGACAATAAAATAGTGTGCTGATTTACATTCTGGAACAAACATCTTATTTCATTCTGGACCAGTAAAAAAGTTCAAAGGAGAGCGATTTAACAGCACTATTTCAGATTATGTAGTCACTAACTTGACCCAGGTCCCATCTATATATAAAAGCCTAAGTGACCAAATGACCAGTCAACTGATTGGTCACTATGACGGACACCGACCATCAGGGGACAGATGGTAACTCAGGAGCTGCCCCCTGGTGGTCAATGTGCTCTCACAGTGGAAGTGCTGCTCAGCTGACCCATGAGCGCAGCTGTGGTGGCTCCAGCCTCTCTGGCCTCTGAGGCAGCACTACTGAGTAGCAGTGGCAAGCATACTGCAGGCCACCTGGCCAGGGCTCAGGCTCCTCCCTGGCTGACTGCCACTCATGCACTACCATATTCCTCGGGGGGTGTCGGACAGCCTATGAGGATCAGGCTGAAACTGGCAGTCTAACATCCTTCAAGGGGTCCTGGATTGCGAGAGGGTGCAGATTATATGTAATAAAGTGGCAGGTTTGAGATTGGAGCCTAGGTCTGTGGGTAGTTTGGTCTTTTATTGTCACATCAAAGGAGAGTGCTAATAGAATCCAGGACCCAGGACAGAACTTTAAAAATGCACCCTGATACACCAATGTTCCATTTTGGAACTTTGAGGTACTGTTAGTTTCATAGTCTGCCTTCTCTAATTGACACAGTCCTGACAATTGCCTACTTTTCTGTATTTGTGTTACATATTTGTATATCCCTATAGGTTATGAACACCTCATCTTATCCTCTTTGTATCCCACACAATAATGTATGGAGCTTTGAAAGCATTACATGTAATAGGTTAGTACAGTGGTCAGCAAACTCATTAGTCAGCAGAGCCAAATATCAACAGTACAACGATTGAAATTTCTTTTGAGGGCCAAATTTTTTAAACTTAAACTTCTTCTAATGTCACTTCTTCAAAATAGACACGCCCAGGCCGTGGTATTTTGTGGAAGAGTCACACTCAAGGGGCCAAAGAGCCGCATGTGACTTGTGAACCGCAGTTTGCCAACCATGGGGTTAATACATGTAATACTGTTAGTTTATAACTTCTTTATGTGCCTAAGATAAATATTAAACAAAGGAGACTGAATCAGATTCAAACACTTAAATTTTCAGATGTGGTATGAAATCTACTGAGCATGTATGTCATCCAACAGAACAGTGAGGAGAAAAGCATTAGGAGCCTACATCTGTAAAATTTGGGGGAGGGGCATGCTAGGACATCCCCACTGAAGTATAAGACATATTAGTGCAACTTGTATCTCACTATGAAGGTGGCAGCACAGTGCTTAATAGGCCTCTTTGAGGTCTGAAGGCAGCATATTTCACACCTAAGAATACTGCTCTCTGCTCTACATTGGATGACATGAACGGCTGCCAGTTTTGAGTGAGGCCCAGAGCAGGAAAGAGGTCTATGGCAGGTCCATATTGTGGTGGAAGCAGGCCTGCCACTTGGGTCATCTAACCTAGTAGACTCTTATATTCGAGTTATTGGTGGAGAAGAAAATGTGGAAAACATTAAGGCAAACTCTTGATTTTTTTTTTTTTTGGTTCATTTTATTGAATAACTAAATGTATAAAAACCACATAGAACACGTTACTGAAGAAAATATTTTTTCAAGTATATAATGGATTCTTCAACCCTGTTATTTCTGTAACAATCTTATTTTTTCATGAAAACTAAGTATAAAAATTTTAATACATTTCATCTGTCCTCCATTTAAAGACTATGTTATAATTATGATTATCTTTAGCAACCAAAGTCTAAAGATTTAAACTTTATATGGAGAAAAACGCCTTGTCAAGTCCTTCACACCCGATTTGGTGCTGAGGTTGAACTGTTGTATTGGTTTGTTCCAGAATCCAGAGGCCACTCTGAGCCTTAAAACGAAGTGGAACCCTTGGCTGGCCTTGGGTCCTGGAGGAACCTCTGGATGGGAGATGACTGGTTTTGCTCCGCACAGAACAGCTCTTCCCCAGGCTAAGAACTGTTCTCTGGGAACTGTGAACTGAGGTATATTCTGTAGTCAAACATCTGTTTGGGGTGGTAGGTGGAGAGGGCCTTTGTTATATCATATTTCTATTGGTAATCACATCTCCATAAAAATAAAGAGCAAATGGGTACTCCAATTCATTGATGATACCAATATTTTCCTACAGTTATCTCTCGCTCAGTGATACGAAGACCAATGAAAAATTCTGAGCACAAGGACTGAATTCACTCTGAACACAAGTAGTAAAAGTGTAACTGGTAACTGATAGTGGCAGAAATTGGGACTTGGCTTTTGTAAGGTCTCCCGGGCTTGATTTATTTTAGGCAGCCTGTAGAGAGCTAGAATTTGGACACACTGTTTTGGGTCTATCCTTTTACTTTTCTCCACTGCCCACTGACTTTATTTGAAAAAATAGGGTGAGAGAAAAAAATCTTCATATCTGTCACAGAAGTCATTCCCAAACTTCCCACTTAAGTGTCCATCATGAATTCAAAGTTAAATAACAAACATACAAATAATGGGTAACTAATAAGTTTTTTTTAAGGTAGTAAAAATATATGACCTCAGAGATTTCTTAGCATAATGCTGATCCGTCAAATGTGGGTAAAAATCCCATTCAGACGGAAGGTTTGGAGTCCTATGTAAAAATATAACATGCATTAAAACAGAGAATTCTTAAATATAAAAAAATTCAAGTGACCGTATCCTTAATGATATTAATATATCACCAACAAAATTATAATGAACATTTTAGCACAAATGCAGTTCATTTCTAGTTAACACATTGAAATAATTGACACTCAAATTCTAAATACTATAACATAGATGCCTTAATGAGATTCATATATGTACATATGCTTCAAAGTAGAATTTGACTTTGGGTTAGTACATTGCATTCTAATCCACAGTTTTTATGTCTCTTAATTTCAGTTGCTTTTACTAAGAAACTGAGAGAAAACCAAAATTTCTGACACTTGGATCAATCAGAAAATAGCTAAGAGTTATCTGTGTACTCAGTAAGAAACTATTTATAAAGCTGATGTTTTTCTTACCAATTTCTCTATATAAAAGCTCTTGAATGGTAATCTACTCTTCTAATTAGAGGAAAATATTATTACTCTTTCTCCAATTCCTATTTCCACCGGAAGAGCCACATCATTCTTTTTAAATAGTTTCTTCTATATTTTATACTTTTAAAAGTGTCAGCAATATTACTTTCTGTAAAATATAAAGCAGCATTAAACTGAAAGTACTGGCATTCAGATTTTGAAGATATACCTTTGTGATGAAATGACAGTAAAAAAACCCAAACAGAATGTTCAGAATTATCAGAGTAACTATCTATTAGAAAAATCAGATTTATGAACCTTTCTAAAATTTTTTAAAGCTACACAGGTTTACATAAAAGTAGTGAGGAAGAACAATGTACTGTATTGAAAAACTAAGACCTTGCCCAGGGGTCTTCTTAACTTGTCTCTGGACAACTTTAAAAGCCTAAAGTTTTGTACCATATGCTGTTCTTAGGGCCAGTACCATGGGATGTCTTGTAAAAAGATCTTTTGGTATTACTGATAACAAAGCACCTTGGACTAGATCCAAAGTCAACAGGTGTTATAAATAAATTCTGCTTTATAGTAAGTTACATTTAAAGCATAATTGAACATATTTACCATAAAGAGTACCTACATAAATAATAGTAAAAGTATTCCTTTGAAGTAAAAAATCTGCTGCTGCTGAAGAAGTGTTCAGTTCCTACCACCATAGCTTATCATGGCTGATTTGATATCATTTCCTTAGCCCTAGAATTTTCTTGATCTTTTAATTTACACCAGTGGTTGGCAAACTCATTAGTCAACAGAATCAAATATCAACAGTACAACGATTGAAATTTCTTTTGAGAGCCAAATTTTTTAAACTTAAACTTCTTCTAATGCCACTTCTTCAAAATAGACTCGCCCAGGCCGTGGTATTTTGTGGAAGAGCCACACTCAAGGGGCCAAAGAACCGCATGTGGCTCACAAACCGCAGTTTGCCCACCACGGACTTACACTAATGACCTGGCATTAGTTTAGGTATATAAAAATGTAATTGTTACAAGTCACACCAAAACATGAGAACTAACACAAATTTCTGCATGTCTTAAAAAATGGTCTTTGGATAACAACTATAATGCTTATTAATGCTGAAGAGGATCCAAAGAACACTCTAAATGATAGACAGTATTTAATAATGGTAAATAAGAATTATTTTCTAAAAAGCTGTACCAATGTCAATTTTAGATTAAACATAACGTGAAATTATTTCATGTAATACAGTCTCATTCTATGCTCTCCTGATAATATTCCCAACAAAAAGCTTCCAGTCTATTTGCTGTTTCTTGGCTGATGAGACAGTCATCCTTTAATTCCCTGATTGTCTTCCCCAATGATCTTTGGAAACGCTTTTCTCGGTCTAAAACATTCTGCAGACTTTTCTTGGTATCCTCTAGCTCGCTGATCACATGATCTAATTTATACTTAAGTTTCTTTGGACTGTCCATTACACTGTAGCTGTGCTCCTAAAAACATAAATACCAAGTTAAATGAACAGAGAAATAATTAGCCAAAAGCTTATAACTAGGCCTCAGCTGTTTCTCCAGTTACTGTGCTTAGAGAGACCTTTAATAAGTTGGTGATTGTAAGTTGGTGTTAGTAAGATGGTGAACATAAGAAGAGGATAAGGGAGTAAGTAATATTTCAAGTGCCTAGGGCCTCTTTTGTCAAAGGCTAGGCAGACAAGAAGAGAGCAAAATGCTATGGATGGGATGCACTTCTCATTCAAAGTGGGTATCTGCTTATAAACACTGAAACCCACAATGGCTATAAGGCTTTCATTCCCTAAGTTTGTTTTAACAATAAAAAAACTTACATTGTTAAATTGGTAACAGAGTTACTTTAGTTTGATGAACAGTTGACTTTATAAAGGAAGTCAGGAAAGGAGCACTGACTGAAGCAGGCCCTCAGGCTGGGTGTTATGCATTTAAAGAGGACTCAGGCCTTGGATTTTTAAAGAGATAATTTAAGTTATTTTAATATTTAATATGATTATGCTTATGTTTGCTGGGTATACCTTTTTCATTTGAAAATATGAAAGATAACACTGACATTTATAAAGGCACTATAAAAATTTTTGAATAACTTTTATTTAATATTAAAATTAGTGAAGAAAACTTTTGCTTTCAGCCAAAATGAAATAAGAGAGTGGAATGACTCCTATCTAAAAAAAATCAATACAAGGCCCAAGACACAAAGTTTTGACATGATCAATTAAAGTGATAACTGTCTAGTCAGGCTGATAAGCAATAAATGATCAGAAATGAGATGATATTACTATAGATTTTATAGATATTAAGAGGATAATAGGAAATATTATGAACAATTTTAATAAGCATGACAACTGAGATAAAATGAACAAATCCCTTGGAAAATACAAGCTAGCAAAAAGACTTTTCCACAAAGAACACTTTAGACCTAGACAGCTTTGCTGGAGAATTCTACCAAATATTTATGGAAAAAATAATTCCAATTCTATACAAATTCTTCCAGAAAATAAAAAAGAGACAATATCTTTTAACTCATTCTTTTGATTTCAGCATTATTCTGATAGTGAAACCAGACAAAAAGATTGAAACAAAAGGAAATTACAGGCCAGTATCACTCTTGAACATACAACATAAAATTTTAAATCGAATCCAATAATATATGAAAGAAATAACGCATCACTAAGAAGTAGGATTTGCCCTAACTGGTTTGGCTCAGAGGATAGAGTGTCAGCCTGTGGTCTGAAAGATCCCAGGTTCAATTCCAGTCAAGAGCATGTACCTTGTTTGCGGGCACATTCCCAGTAAGAGGTGTGCAGGAGGCAGCTGATCAATGTTTCTCTCTCATCGATGTTTCTAATTCTCTATCCCTCTCCCTTCCTCTCTGTAAAAAATCAATAAAAAAATATTTAAAAAAAGAAGTAGGGTTTATTTCAGGAATGGAAGGATGGTTTAACATTCAAAAATTAATTGATGTAACTAATCATATTAACAAACTAAAAAAAAGAAAAATATAATCTTTCGATACAAAAAAATCATTTGACAAAATTTGCATTCTTTTCCGATAAAAATTCTCAGCAAACTAGGAATAAAGTCACTTCCTCAATCTGATAAAGGGTTTTATAAAAAGCTGTAGTTAATGTCACATTTAATATCATATTAATGTCTTCAATGGTGAAAGACTGAAGGTCGTCTTAAACTCAGGAGCAAGGCATGGAGCCCTGTACAGGTAGCTCAGTTGGTTAGAGCATCATCCCTATATGCCAAGGTGTGGGTTCAATCTCCAGGCAGGGTGCATATAAGATTCAACCAATGCGTGCATAAATAAGTGGAACAACAAAATGATGTTTTTGCTTCTCTTTCTCTCCCTTCTTCTCTCTCTTTCTCTCTCAAATCAATCAATAAAAAAAAATCAGGAGCAAGGCATGGAGATTAGTTCTTAGTAATTCTATTTGGTATAGTTCAAGGCAGTGCAGGAAAAAGAAATCAGCTATTCATATTGAAAAGAATCAAAACTATTTTTAATGACAGACGACATGATGTAGAAAATCTAACAGCTTCCACAAAAAGCTTTGATAATTAATATATGAGTTTAGCAAGTTTTCCAGATAGATCAATATAAAAAAAAATCAATGGTATTTCCACATACTAGCATTAAATAAAACAATACCACTTATGAAAACGAAGTGAAAGATCTGTCCACTGAAAACTACAAACATCACTGAGAGAAGTGAAAGGCCTCAGTATATGAAGACATAACGAGTTAATGGGTTAAAAGATGTAAAAGATACTTATTTTTTTTTAAATATATATATTTTATTGATTTTTTACAGAGAGGAAGGGAAAGAGATAGAGAGCTAGAAATGTTGATGAGAGAGAAACATCGACCAGCTGCCTCTTGCACACTCCCTACCGGGGATGTGCCCGCAACCAAGGTACATGCCCTTAACCAGAATCGAACCTGGGACCCTTCAGTCGTAAACCGACGCTCTACCACTGAGCCAAACCGGTTTCAATGTAAAAGATATTTATTAAGATTGCAATTCTTAAAAAAGAAAGATGGCAATCTTTCCCAAATGAATGTATAGATTTGACATAACCCTAGTCAAAATTCTAGCTGGCTTTTTTTGTGGATGTTTTACAAAGTGATTCTAAAATTCATATGAAAATGCAAAGGACACAGAATAACCAAAACAACTTTGAAAAAGAACAAAGTTGGAAGACTACCAACTTTGATTTAAAGAATTATTATAAAGCTATAGTAATCAAGATAGTAAAACAGATCTGGATTTCAGGCCTGGTTCTAACATGAACAGACAATGAAATGTATAAATAAGTGCAAGCTTGACCACTTTATGTGTATAATTATACTTTAAAACCTAAAGGCAGAACTATTTTTTATATTAGATTTTTCCATATAAAAATATAGTATCTAAAGGGAGGAACTGCATTTTCTTGGTTGAAATATCCTTGTGAAAGCATTCTCTTAACTAAATATGTAAACAAAGGCTTAACTACCTCTAATTTGTTATTGTATTACCATGGCCCTGAGATATTATAGATTAAAAAGAAAAGTCTCAAACATCTAGACTCCTAGTTTTTTTCAAAAAGATCTTGAAAAGTTTAAAACTAATGGAAAGGAAAAATTCATCTTAAAAATATCAACATCAGCTCAGTAAGTAATTTTACTTACAAAAATGAACTGGGATTGAAATTCTTCAATACACGAGGAAGCACCAACAAGCTGGTGATTGTGGTGTGTGACTGGAAGGGGTTTGAGGGTGAAGTTTTTTCTACAATGAAGCTGTTCTTTTTTCCCCTGTTAAGAATTGTTAATAACAATTATTGTAGATACTTCTGTTCTTTTAAAAATTTTATTCCTTCCTAACTCTGCAAAATTAAAACATTTCTTCTAATGAAAACAACTTTTAAAAGTCACTAAAATTTAAATTCCACTAAAATTACTTTAAAGGAACTTTTCTAAAAATTGCTCTAAAGTTCATCTAGAAGCACAAATTTTCCTAAAAAAGAAGATTAATAATGAGAGAAGATATGTCCTTTAGGTATTAAAATTTTTTACACAGAAATAATAATAAAACCAGTTTGCTATTCTTCCTGGACAGAAATATCTAGAAATAATTCAAGTAAATAAAAGCCTTTAGAATAAAATACTTAAATTATAAATAAGTGGAGAAAAGCTATAAATAATGTCAAAATCAAATAAGAAAACAGTTATATCCTTATACATAATAAAACATGATGAAAGTCTATGTATTAAAAATTTATGTAAAGGTAAAAACCATGAGGAACTATAAAAAATATAGGGAATGTTTATATAATTTTAAGGTGGGAAAGGCTAAAGTCAGACAATACAAAAGAAAATATAGAATTGACAATTAAAAAAAGTCTGAATTAAATAACAAAATTAAAGACAACAAAAAGTAATTGCAACATAAATGGCAGTTAAATGTTTCATATCCTCAATACACACACACACACACACACCCTATCTAATTAAAAAGTAATATGCAAATTGACCGTACCTCCGCTACACCCACCAGACATGCTCACCACCCAATCAGGAGTGAATATGCAAATAAACCCAACCAAGATAGCTGCAGCCACAGAGAGCAGGAGGGAGGCTTGGTTTTTCTCAGCAATGGAAGAAGCCAAGCTTTCCACCTGCCCTTGCTGGCCCAAGCCTCCACTTAAGGCTACAAAGTTTCAATGATAGATAAATAAAAGATAAATAAATCTGAACAGAAATGGCTGCTGCCACGCAGCTGGAAACAGCAGGAGGCTTGAGTTGCCCCCGGAGATTGAGGAAGCCAAGCTTTCCACCTGCCCTGGCCTCTGCTAAAGGCTACAAAGTTTCAATTATAGAAGATAAGTAAATACCAACAGAAATGGCTAACCCAGGGAGATCAGAAGGCTTGGCTCCGCTCCAGGCTACAAAGTTTCAATTGTAGGAGAAAGGGAAGGGCAGTTGGAGGAGGACCAGGCCTGCAGAGGAGGAAAGTTGGAGGCAAACATGCTGGCAGGGGAGCAGTTAGGAATCAATCAGGCTGGCAGGGGAGTGGTTAGGGGGTAATCAGCCTGGCAGGCAGAAGCTGTTAGGGGCAATCAGGAAGGCAGGCAGGCGAGCAGTTGGGAGCCAATAGTCCTGGATTGTGAGAGGGATGTCTGAATGCCTGTTTGGGCCCGGTCCTACTGGGAAGTTAGACCTCCCTCAAGGGGTCCCAGATTGGAGAGGGTGCAGGATGGGCTGAGGGGCACTCCCCCCAACCTCCCCGGTGCACAAATTTTATGCACCAGGCCTCTAGTGTATGTGTGTGTGTGTGTATATGACATATAATATACCTTAAAATATGAAAATAGAAGAGGACCTGAAGATATAACACACACACACACAGAAATATAAATGGTGAATAAACACATAAAAATGGAGAAACTCACTAATATTCAGAGATGAATTAAAACAGTAAGATGACATTTTTGCCTACCTTATTAATATTAGCAAAGGTTAAAAACAACTAATACCAAAGGTTAAGCTGGGCAGTAATGCTTATGCATTGTTAGTAGGGAGAATAGATTGATAAAAGTTTTTTGGTAGGCCTTGGGAAGAATAGTATCAAAAACATGTCTTTGAAATGTGGCCCTAGAAAAAATCCAAGTTGGAGGCATAAGGTATACACCTGTAAGTACTGCCTCACACAACTATACCAAAACTACAACTAAAAGACAAAACGTCTATCACCTAGAACCATGGGAAAGCTGGCTGAGTAGAAGTTCTACAACTAGAAGGAAAGAGAAAAGAACACTGAGACGTGCACAAGTGTGGAAAAGCTGAGGTATGGAAGGCGGGTGAATCGCGCAAATCAGGCTGGTGGCTGGCGGCTGGGTGTGCTGTTTTTTTCAACCAGAAGGAAGACACGAGTTCCTGATTACTTAGAACTCCAGTTTCTGGTGAGACTCTGGGGACTCAAACTCCTCTGGGGGAGAAACTGGACTGTCTGCCTTGGTTGGAAAGTGAGGGTAGCTTTCTTGCAGAGGTATGCCCAGTAATCACTGTTTACTGCGCCGGGGCACAGGATGCAGGGACACAGAAACTAATATATGCAGAGATGGCTGACTGGTAGCCATTGCTGTTTGCCACATTCTAGCCTAGTGATTCCCTGAGACCCTACTCCGCACAATTTACCAACCCACCAAACCCTGTGCAGCAGCTGTTGCATATGAATGGCCTGCCCTATCACATCTTAACCTAACAAACTGCAGCTCTGGTCAGACACCTCCAAAACCCCCAAGCAAAGAGGAAAAATCGCCAAAATTGGTTTGGCTCAGTGGATAGAGTGTCGGCCTATGGATGGGAAGGTCCCAGGTTCGATTCCAGTCAAGGGCATGTACCTTGGTTGCAGGCATTTTCCTAGTTGGGGGGGGGTGCAAGAGGCAGCTGATCGATGATTCTCTCTCATTGATGTTTCTAACTCTCTTTCTTCCTCTCTGTAAAAAATCAATAAAATATATTTAAAAAATAAATTAAAAAATAAAAACCTCTGAGGAACTTAATGAGACCTTTAAGGATCTTAATGAGAATGCCAAAAAAAAAAAAAAAAAAAAAAAAAAAAAAAAAAAAAAAAAAAGGAAAGGGACCTGTCAGAAATTAAGCATACATTGTCTGAAATAAAGAATATACAGAAATTCAACAGTAGATCAAAGGACCCCAAAAATCAAACCAAAGATCTAAAATATGAGGAAACAAAAAACACCTGACCAGAAAAGCAAAAAGCAAAAAGAATCCAAAAATATGAAGATAGTGTAAGGAGCCTCTGGAACAACTTTAAGCATACCAAAATCCAAATAACTGGGGTGTCAGAAGAAGAGAGAGAGCAAAATATTGAAAACCTATTAGAAGAAATAATGACAGAAAACTTTCCTTACCTGGTGAAAGGAATAGACTTACAAGTACAGGAAGCACACAGAACGCCAAACAAAGAAAATCCAAAGAGGACCATACTAAGACACATCATAATTAAAATGCCAAGAGCAAAAGATAAAGAATCTTACAAGCAGCAAGAGAAAAACAGTTAGTTACCTACAAAGGAGCACCCATACAACTGTCAGCTGATTTTTCAACAGAAATAATGCAGGCAAGAGGGGAGTGGCAAGAAATATTCAAAGTGATGAAGAGCAAGAACCTACAACCAAGATTACTGTACCCAGCAAAGCTATTAATTAGAATTGAAGGTCAGATAAAGAGCTTCACAGACAAGAAAAAGCTAAAGGAGTTCACCAGAATTATATGAAATTCTGAAGAGTATTCTTTAAGAAGTGAAAGAAAAATAAAAAGGTAAAGATAAAAATTAAGAACAACAAAATGACAACAAACACATACCTATCAACAAGTGAATCTAAAAATCAAGTGAATAAAAAATCTGGTGGACAGAATAAACTTATGAATATAATAGAATCAGGGACATAGAAAGGGAGTGGACTGATAGTTTTCGTGGGAAAGGGTGTGTATGGGGTGTGGGGAAAAATTTGACACAAATCTTACACCTATGGATGAAGACAGTGGTGGGGGGTAAGGGCATGGGGAATCAAGTGGAGGGGAATCAGATGGTGGAGAATCAGGTGGAGGGGAGCTATGGAGGAAAAAAATAGGAACATCTGTAATAATCTGAACAATAAAGATTTATTAAAAAATAAAAAACAAAACCAAAAAACAACAAAAAAAAATGTTGCCCTAACCTGTGTGGCTCATTTGGTTGGAGCCTCATCTTACACCAGGTGTCCTATTTGATTCCAGGTCAGGGCACATACCCAGGTTGTGGGTTTGCTCACTGAGATGGATATGAGACAACCTATCCATTTTTCTTTCTCTTTTATCAATTAAAATAAAAAGATTTAAAATTTTTTTTTAATATGTAAAATTTTTGATCCAACAGTTTTATTTTTAAGAATTTAGTGCAAAGAAATAAAGATATGTACAAAGATTTAGCTACAATAATGTTCATTATAGTGCTATTTAAAATAGTGAAAGACTTATCTACAATAGTGAGGACTAATTACATAAATTATTGTTCATACATAGAATCAATGGCTATATGGTCATTAAAAATGTTCTATAAAGCTCACACCAAAAAGTACTAGCAAGGATATAGATCCTTAGGAACTGTAATATGCTGATGGTGGGACTGTAAATTGGCAAACCACTTTGGAAAATTATGACAATATCTACTTAAGCCAAACAGACACATTAATAGGATCCAGCAATTCCACTTCTAACAGAAGTGTGCATACAGTCAGGGCACATACTCGGATTGTGGGTTTGATCCCTATTTGGGGCAGAAGGCAACTGATTGATGTTTCTCTCTCACATTGATATCTCTCTCTCTCTCTCTCTCTCTCATCAACTAAAAAAAAAAAAAAAAAGATAAGCCAATAAAAAAGAGAATATACATACAGTGTAATTCTATTTTTTAAAATATATTTTTATTGATTTCAGAGAGGAATAGGGAGAGGGAGAGGGAGATAGAAACATAAATGATGAGAATTATTGATCTGCTGCCTCCTGCATGTCCCACACTGGGGATCGAGCCCACAACCCGGGCATGTGCCCTGATCAGGAATAGAACCATGACCTCCTAGTTCATAAGTCAATGCTCAACCATGCCAGCAGGGCCAGTATAATTCTATTTTTATGACTATAGGTAGAGATAAATTTATTTATAAACATACATATACAAACCACTAGAATGATACACATCAGATTGTTAACAGTATTATCTCTGTTTTATGTAATTATTATTAATTTTTATTTTCTCTTTCCTTTATTATCTAATTTTCTATAATAAAATTTTCTTTATTAGAAAATATTTTTTGAAAGTAACTCATTTTTTATTATGCCAATATTTCTTAAGGTCCTCTTAACATAGCAGATAGATGATGCCTTACTATAGGATAAAAACCCTTCAGAGAAAATTGCACAAGATATTGCACATTTACTAATAAGGGAGAAAGGGAGGCAGTCTCTACCTGATAACTCAGGTGCCTCAGTCGGAACAACTGCAGAAAGTAACCAAGATCACTGCTGGACCACTTCCCTTGTTTCCAGCTTTCAATGGAGGCTCATTATATTGTGGAACCCACAGGCTCTCTATGAACTTTCCACATTGGATCAGTCAGTCTAAAGTTTATGGAAGCAAATACACTTCCAGGTATATGAGGTCAAGAAAGGTGTTGAGGATGAGGCAGCCAACCCGTGGCACTAATATTACTGAGAAAAAACAGAATTCAACTAGAATTTACTTACCCAATCAATTTCCTTTTTTAGACCTCTTCTCTCCTTACCTTCTCCTGTTTTTTTTGTTTGGTGTTTTTTTTTTTTTTTTTTCTTTTTCTTTTCCTTTCAGTCCTACCTAGGTTTCACGTTTGCATGTACATGGCTCTAAACCAAAGTGAGAACTGCCACCTTGGAACTTGACTTAAACCATTCTTATGTTCCTCTATTTTTCAGATACAAATCTTGAGCTATGCTAACTCTTAGGGGTAGTCCATTTCACCAAACCTTTATAAATATTTCTGAGTGGCTATTGGTAAAATACTCCTACTACATATTTCACAGTCTGAAGCAGCAGTTTACATCTTTAAAAACTTAAGAGGATTTCAAAGCAAGTGTGGTGAAGCTTCTTCAATAGTACCATAAAGAGTGAGTAATGGTGGCAAGCAGTACTCATAAACAAACCTGTAAGTGAGATGGGAAATCAAAGATAGAAGGTATGACTCCAGGTTTCAGTTTAATATTTGGAGCACTTCTGTCAAAATCTGTCTTCTTAAAGTGCCTTGAACACAACACATCTCCTTTTTTAGGCTCCCAAATGCCTGCAGCATTCACATCAAGTCTTTTCATCGCTAATACCCATTTTCTCTTTACATTTTCATCTGTGGGGAATCTAGAAAAAATACAAAAAGTATTTTAAAATTAAACACTATTGATATTATACTTGAATTAAGGATTGACTAAATTAATTTCTTAACTAGTCTGCTATTACTCTTGGGAAATATTACAGCAGAAACTATCAAGATTCATGCTTTTGAAACTTAACAGTTTTAATAATAGATTTTTCTACTAATCATGCTGTAGACATATGGTCCTCATTTAAATTTTTCTCACGTTATAAAGAAATTTCAAAGGATATTTAATACTTTATGGTAAGATCCACAACTGAAGGTTTTTCTGCACCCAAGGTCAGAATATATTTGGGCAAAGATCCTTCATTCACATTGTAAACTACAGGTAAACAACACGGCCTTTCTTTGAAGGCATGCTAAAATGCAACGTAATGCTAGCACACATGGCTTTGATGATATTTTTGTTAACCAGCAGGTTACCTTGGCAGGCATCTTTAATCTCTAAACTAAATTATAAGGGCAAAGGTATCACCGTCACTTCAAATGTAAGTAAAAAAGGTTATTTAAAAAGAACTTGGGAACTGAAGTTCAAAACTTAAGATTTAAGTAAAACTGCTTTTTTTTTTTTTTTTTTTTTTTTTTTTTTTTTTTTTTTTCTCCTTTTGAAAGCACTTGGCTTAACTAGAGGAAACTCTCACACGTGAAAAGTCAGTCCTTTTAACTTGGAATTTGGCAAACAGCGAGAAGCACATCCGATCGCGGAGCAGCATTTCACCATGACTTTAGCCACGCATAACAGAACTGGAAGAAAACGAAAATGGTCAGCGTTAGTAACTGCAAAGCAAGGGGGGCTTGTGTGCCTTTCCCGGCACCTTTTAGTTTCAAGGGAAATCACACTAGAAAACCAAAGGCGGGTATGTTTCTTCCAACACCTGCCGCTCTGCTCACAAACAGTTTCCAGGGTCTTGGCTCTTGGATGAGCCGAAGGGTATTCAGCCACGCGCTCGGAAGCAAACACATAGGATTTCGGTTCCGTGGCCTTGTGAGCGCATTTCCCTCCCGGGAGGGCTCTGCCCCCGGGCTCAGCACAGCGACCCCGGCGGCCTCCTCACCCTCCTCAGCCTCCAGCCCCTGAGGCTCCCCCGGGGGGACCTCCCTAAATCCCAGATGAAGTCAGGTCTCCTCTGGTGTTATGAGCTCTCGGAGAACACAGTTCTCCCTAGCACTTCTCAAAGCTGTAATCTTATAAGCATTTCAGAGATTCCCCCTCAGACTGTCTCCCTCAGACTGCGAGTCCCACGGTGACAGGGTGGGGCGTGTCTTTTTTTTTTTTTTTTTTTGCTTTGTCCCCGCGACTTAGCCGGTGACTGGTATACAGTAAATGTTAACACATAATGTGAAGAAATAAAGAGCAAGGAAAAGGGTAAGGTAAGTGTCCCGGTGCCCAGCCGTGGCGGCGCGCGCCCGGGCGCCGGGCCGAGCTCCGCCCCTTTCTCGAGGCCGCGGCCCCACGCGCGCGCCGGGAAGAGGGAGGGGCCGCCCTGTCAGGTGCGAATGCGGCGGCCGGGAAGGGCCCCGTCCCCGGGGGCCGGCCGCCGGGCGTCTCTCCGCGGCGCCGCCGCTGTCCTTCAGGCCCGAGCCACGCCCCAGAGTGAGGGCGGGTCGCTATGGGGTCGGGGAAGCGAAGGCTACCTAAGAGTCATTACCGTTAGCGGCGAGGAAAGCGACTAACGTCGACGACAGAGACTGCGTCTTCCTCGGCTTCCGCCCCCGTCAGCCGGAAATCCGACTGCCCCGGGTCACGTGGCCAGGCGCCATATTGGCTTCGCTGGCCACCGCGGCCGGGAGGGCGGCGCTGCTTTCTCAGGACGTAGTTTCCATCCTGGGAGACGGGGGTCCTTGGAGAGTTCAGGGGAGGGAGAGGAGATGGCGGCCTTGGCGCGGGAGGATGGCGCTCGAGGCCCAGAGCGAGGACAGCGGGGCTGCGAACATTATGACAGAGGATGTCTCCTGAAGGTGACGACTTAATGGAGCTCTTCCTCTAGGAGCTTCCGCCGGGCCGGGCTGGGGACGGAGTGGGCCGGGCGGTTGCGGTTCGGTGTGGGCTTAAGCTTGAGGCCAGAAGCAGTTCGTGAGGCCAAACTTCTTCACCTCCAGCTGGGTTCCTGCTGCGGAGAACATGCTCGGCGAGGTGTCCACAGGCCTCACATCTCCTCCTGTTTTGTACTTTGCAAGCAAAGTCGTCCTTGTTTGGGTAGACCCTGGGCTTTTGCACTTCGATCCCTTTTTTAATCAGTGGGTTTGTTTATCTGTTTTGTGGTGGTTGCTGGAAGTAGACTGAGGCAGTCTCTGGGCCTGTGCTGGCTTTTCCCCAGGATCCCTTTCAAGTCTGATGAAATAATGGAAGAGGGATAACAAGTAGAGAATCTGATGTGATTTCAGCTCCTGTAGTAGATACCGTTTTACAGCTTCATTTTGCGCCCACACCTGCCAAAGAGAACGTGTATGATGGTGTGAACTAGGAAGACAGGCTTGTAATGGCCACTAAGTAGGAAATGATGATGGCTAGGACAGTGCCTAATATGCATGTATTGTTACTTTTGCTGTTCACTTCCAGAAGAATGTCTAGTCAGTCTGTAATTTGAAAAATTGGCACCCATCCGATTCAAGTTTCCTGATTCTTCGTGCGAGAAACAGCTTGAAGATTTTGCTTAGAAAGCTTGAGATTTCAGCCCCACAACCCTACACCTGGTTCTTAGCTTTGCTCCTTAATAATTTGAGCAAACTACCTTTAAGTGCCTCATATGTATGTATATATAAAATACAGTTAATAATAGAAGTTCCTATTTCATAAGAACTATGAGGCCTGTGAAGACCATCTAAAGCCTTTTTAGCAGGCCATGGTTTGGTGAATATTCCTCTACTGCAATTGATGAGCTCTTTCAAAGTTGGTCATTCACCAAGTGTGGTGTAAGGAATTGAATGCTATTATGATTCCATTTCCACTGAGTTGTTCTGTTACTCTTTCAAAGCTTGAGATCTAAAACTGAATTCAACATTTTGGCCCTCCCTTTAACCCCCAAGAAACTATGCAGACATTGTATCTGCGTTTCCCAACACTAAGCTACTGGGCCTTGAGTTATCAAATGCTTTTTTTGTCCTTCCCCTCTGTCTTCCTTAAACACCAGAGGCCAAGTGGAAAGTTTTTAGGAGGCAGTAATCAATTAAATCAAATGCGGCTGTTTGACTAAGAGAAGAACTAAACATTTATCAAAGAGGAGGTCGCTGGTATTCTGAGAAGTTTCTGTGGCGATATTGGGAGGAAACTATTGGACTGTATTCAAGGGAGAATGGGAGTATTGGAACTGGCAACAGTCTTTATAGACAACTCTTGGAGTGTGTTGTAAAAGAACCAAAACATAAGGCTGTGGTTACTGGGAGATTGGGGTCATGGGATTATTTTCCCCTTTAAGATGGGAGTTATTGCTGCATGTTTGTATATTCTTGGAAGTGACCCAGTAAAGTGAGAACATTTTATAATTGGAGGGAGAGGCAAAACTGTAGGAGCACTGTCCTTGAGTATTCAACGAGAACATGGAACCCAGTGCCTAAGTTAGCCTTTAATAGTAACATGGACTGTAGATTCTGTAACAGAAAGGAAGATAGAATATAAGGTACATTTGCAAGTAGGCTGATAGAATTTGTGGGAAGATGTTCTCGATTATTTCTATTGTTTTCACAGTGAAATAAGAAGTATGGTCATTCATCAGCAGATTGTAAGTAGGTAGGAAGAGGTGTTCAAGGTTTAAAGAGAGGTGATGTGAATTAATCTAGGTTCTAAGTCCTACACTCTGGAAGAATAAGGAAATTGACTGGGAAAACATGGTAGTTTAAAGACCCACTTTTTTTAGTGGATATGATTTTAAATTGAGACCAGTCAGGGTTGAGGTGCTTTTTCTTTATCTGTATTCAGCTGTTCCTATGTAAGTTAAGTAGGAGAGAGTTGGATTTAACCAGTTGAGATTCTGGATAAGTGAGTATGTAGAGGAAGAGGGAAGGGGTGTGTACAGAAGAATTGGAGTGTGTTGGAAAGAGAAGAGGTACTGTTTAGAGAATGCCATATTTGAAATTAAGTTTCAAACACGCCTCAGTTCTAGAACAGTGGTTTACTGTGTGGAATGAATGGACTCAAGGTCAAAACTACTTTCCTTTAATGTCTAATACTAAGACATTCTTTTTCAATGTGTGCAAACTAATGATTAATACTGCTAGCACCTTAGCACAAATCAAGGCAGTGGCACCTATATATTAAAAAAGAAAAGAAAAAAGAAAAAGCCAGGTTTATTTAAGAATGTCATTAATAAAACCAAAGCAGTAAAATTACTAATTGTATAAAATCTTATCCCTTGATTGTACTTTTCACATGTTTGATGTTTTCATCAACTGCTTTCAGCGCAGACTTTAATTAGGTGGTTTTTTGAGGAAAAGCTCTTGTGCAATTGTGAACTGAACTACTTATATTTTTTATTGAACAGCATATTTTTACTTGAAGTATGGTTATTCAGGCTTAGGTATTTGGTGAACATTTTCTTAAAAAGGAGAGAAGTGTGACTGTCATTACCTGGAAAACAACAGTGATAAATTTTTAAAAAATATATATTTTATTGATTTTTTTACAGAGAGGAAGAGAGAGGGATAGGGAGTTAGAAACATCAATAAGAGAGAATCATTGATCAGCTGCCTTTTGCACACCCCCTACTAGGGATGTGCCCACAACCAAGGTACATGCCCTTGACTGGAATCGAACCCGGGACCTTTCAGTCCACAGGCCGACTCTCTATCCACTGAGCCAAACCAGTTTTAGCAACAGTGATAAAATTTGAGCTTTCATGTACCAAGTAGAATTTTGGAAAACGTGTCTTAGTTACTGTGAGCTTGAGTGCTTCCCAGTACCTAAAAAATTTTTGATGAGATGGGTAGTGATATTAACAAAAGTGATTTTTTTTTATATTGCATAATTCAGTGAACTAATACTTTACAAATAACCTGTACATGAGTAAAAGATACTTTAAAAGTTCAAGATAGGTCAGTCAGTTTTACTCTAACAGGGAGAATAGTTTACTGATATGATTTCAGAGTCCATATTGCAACTAAACAAGAGTTGTTGAGTTTTGGTATAGTATCAAAGAAGAATATCCAAATTCTCTGAAAAAGCTTTTAAGTACTCCCATTTTTAGCTACATATTTGTGTGAGTCCAAATTTCTCCATATACTTCAACTAAAACTCATTGAATGTAGAAGCAGAATTAAGAACCCAGAAATGTTTTTGGAAAATATAACTTATTTTTCATTAACTGTTACTTATGTTAAGATGTAATGGGCTTGTTACTATTATTTTTAAAAATAATGAATATTTCCAGGACCTATCGGTTTAATTTATAATATGGTATTAATAGACATAATTTATATAAACAAAAGCTCTCTGGGATAATAATTTTTAAGAGTAAAGAGGTTCTAAAACCAAAATGTTAGAGAGCCACTGTTTTGTAGTATGACTGAGCATATGTGGAAGTGAGAAAGGCAAGTAACTAGATTTCAGGGTATTGGAAGGATTATTATTATGGATGTGCAGATCACTAAGAGTTAGGACAAGAATAGTGTTGGAGAGATAGGCAGCCAGTTGAGTGTTAAAATCTTTAAGGAATAAACTATATCATGGTGTGAGTCATAGCATAGGAAATGGTCAGAAATGAGTGGGGAGCTAAAAGGTTACATTGTCTGGAAAGTATTGGGTTAGTTTGCTAGTCTGGAAATTTCTTAATGTTGGGGTAATGCTAAATAAATTGCTATAACAAAAAAACTCAACAGTAAGGTGAGTTAAAGAATAATGAGTTTATTTCTTCCTACCTAACAATTCCAAGGTGAGTGATCCTGTTTGTTAATGAAGCTCTGTTCTACATGATCACTCCAGGGACAAGTTTTTTCAGTTGTATTATTTTGCCATGTTTTAGGGCATAAAGTCATCAGCTGGGCTGCTGCCATGTACAGGTTTCATCTTATGGAAAGGGAAAAAGAGAGCATGAAGGTGGGGTCAGTCCCAGTTTATTAATTAATATTCAGGCACGGGAGTGGCACTGATGCTTTCTGCTCATATTCTCTTGGTAAGAACCTAGTCATTTGGCCACAACTAACAGCAAGGAAGTCTAGGAACTATATAGCTGGGAGGAAGGAGAGAACAGATTTTAGTGGTCAGTCTTTGCCACTCTTGAAAACAAGGATTATTTGTTATTATATCCTCTAAAATATGAGGCATATATGGTAGTTAACAATTGACAAACACAAGTGAACTCAAATATCTTTCTAATATTCAATGTTTAGCGATTGAAGTAGGTAAATGAATTTATCTGGAAATCTCAAAAAGTTGTTGCTGGCTTGCCATTTTTAGGGTGTTGGAGGGTTAATTTTCTAGTCTAGAGATTTGCATCCTTCATGATTTTTTTGTCTTTAAGGACAAGGTTGTGTTCAACTTGATACAAACGTATAGATGTTGAAAAGAATAGTTAAAATATGCTAAGAAACAGTGAGCTGTGATATTTAACCTGTTAACCGAGCGGGACCTATAAATATGTCAACATAAACAGTATCGGGAACGGGTAGGACATATGAATACGTCCTTGAAATATATGTTGCACTCTGAGACGGATGGTCTACCGTATATTTTTTGTAATCTTTATTATTGTTTGTAAAATTTATAATTTTTTAATTCAATGTTTCCATTTTTTTGTTGATATTCTTTTCTATTTGTATTTTCCTTTTTGCTTTATATATAAATAAATGAAAAAATATATACTTCATTTATTTTAATTAAGTATAAATAAAAAATAATAATATGAAATTACATCCTCTGGGTGTGACGTACTGACACGTCCTAGTGAAAGAGTATGCACCCATTACAGGTTGCATAATTAAAAAGGGAATTCCTTGGTTAACAGGTTAAGATCAGCTTACCCAACTGATTTGTAGGTTGTAGTCTTTGACCTTGTTCCAGGAAGAGTAGGAAGAAAATTTCTTTTTGCATTGTAAACTTTTCTTCTCTTGTTTATAATAATTCTTTTTCTCCCCTGGGCATTAGGCACCTTGCTGTGACAAGTTGTATACTTGCCGGTTGTGTCATGATAACAAGGAAGATCATCAGCTAGATCGCTTTAAAGTAAAGGAAGTACAATGCATAAATTGTGAAAAAATTCAAAATGTAAGATTTTATCACATTTTTATTTTCTTTATTTAAAAAAAAATTTACTAAGGTCATTTTAATATTTTAATCAAGAGTATTGTCAAGTATTGCCAAATATCTTTAAGTGTTTGAAATCTTATAAAAATAAAACTGCATATACTATAACATAATTCTGGATATTCAAATAGTAATTCAAAATATTTTGGTAAATTTATCCCAATTTTTACTTACATGTGCCTTTTTTTAGGCCCAACAGACTTGTGAAGAGTGTAGCACATTGTTTGGAGAATATTATTGCAGTATATGCCATCTGTTTGACAAAGACAAGAAGCAGTATCATTGTGAAAACTGTGGAATTTGTAGGTACTGTATGTAAAATACTCTGTTCTAATTACTTCTAGTGTATCTGGACAATAATATAATTTTTAAAATTTGATAAATCTTTATTGTTCAGATTATTACAATTGTTTCTCCTTTCCCCCATCATAGCTCCCCTCCACCCAGTTCCCACTCCCTCTGCCCTTACCTTCCCCCCACTGCCCTCATCCATAAATGTATGATTTTTGTTAAGTCTCTTCCCGTACTCCCCACCTCCTTTTCCCCCTGAGAATTTTCAATTATTTCCCCCTTCTATGCGCCTGATTCTATTCACCAGTTTATTCTGTTCCTCAGATTTTTAATTCATTTGATTTTTAGATTCACTTGTTGATAGGTATGTATTTGTTGTTCATAATTTTTATCTTTACTTTTTTCTTCTTCCTCTTCTTAAAGAATACCTTTCAGCATTTCATATAATACTGGTTTGGTGGTGATGAACTACTTTAGCTTTTCCTTATTTGTGAAGCTCTTTATCTGACCTTTAATTCTGAATGATAACTTTGCTGGGTAGAGTAATCTTGATTGTAGGTTCTTGCTATTCATCACTTTGAATATTTCTTGCCACTCCCTTCTGGCCTGCATAGTTTCTGTTGAGAAGTCAGCTGATAGTCCTATGGGTGCTCCCTTTAGGTAACTGTTTTTCTCTTGCTGCTTGTAAGATTCTCTTTGTCTTTTGCCCTTGGCATTTTAATTACGATGTGTCTTGGTGTGGTCCTCTTTAGATTCCTTTTGTTTGGGGTTCTGTGCGCTTCCTGTACTTGTAAATCTATTCCTTTCACCAGGTGGGGGAAAGGAATTATTTCTTCAAATAGGTTTTCAGTATCTTGCTCTCTCTTCTTCTGGTGTGCTTAAGTTGTCCTAGAGGCTTAATTCTGATGTTGGTATGCTTGAAGTTGTCCTCGAGGCTTCTCACACTATCTTCAAATTTTTGGATTCTTTTTTCTTTTTGTTTTCTGTTTGAGTGTTTTTTGCTTCTTTGTATTCCAAATCTTTGGCTTGATTCTTGCATTCCTCTAGTCTGCTGTTAAGTCTCTGTATAATATTTTTTATTTCAGTCAGTGTATGTTTAATTTCTAGTTGGTCCTTTTTCATATCCTTGAGGGTCTCGTTAACTTTATCAGCCTTTTCTAGAAAATTCTTGGAAAACCTTATAACTGTGGTTTTGAACCCTATATTTCGTCATTTGTTTTTCTCCATTTCTTTTGTTTGTGATCTGTGTCCTTGTTTCCTCATTTCCCTGCTTCCCTGGTTGGTAAGGGTGGCTTTGTGCCCTAGATGTCCTCTATGGCCCACTGTGTTGGCCTCTCAGTTACCTGAGGTGGACACTCTGGTGCACCTCTTTGTGGCTGTGTGTTAACTCTTGATTGTTGTTGGTGTCACTGGGAGGAATTGACCTCCAGGCCAATTGGCTGTGAGGACCCGCTGTATCTATAATGGAAGAATTGCTGTGCTGAGGGCACACTTATGGGGCAGGATTTGTTTCAATGGGGCTTTGGTGTTCACTGAGTCTGCCTCTTGAATGTGTCCCTTATGAGAGTAGTTGAAATCTGGTGTCATTTCACACAGATCACTAATTATACTAGCTTCTGAATCTCCCATGGGGTGCAGGTCAGCTACTATCTGAGGTCACCCAGCAGGAGCTACAGCGAGAACTATAGTTTTCTCCTCTTTGCTTGGGGTTTGGAGGTTTTGGAGTTGTCTGACCAGAGAGAGCTGCAGTTTGTTTGGTAAAGCTGCGATAGGGCAGGCCATTTATATGCAAAAGCCACTGAGTGGAGCTTGGGTGGGTTTGTAGATTGTGCAGGGTGGAATTTCAGAGCGTTACTAGGCTAGGGTGTGGCAAACAGCGATGGCTGCCAGTCAGCTTTCTCTGCATTTCCATGTTTCCGAGTCCCTGCATTTCCAAGTCCTCATGTCCTGCGCCCCAGCGCTTGAAACAATGATTGCTGGGTGCACCTCTGCAAGAAAGTCACCCTCACTTTCCGACCCGATGTCCGATAATCCAGCTTCTCCCTGTAGGAGTTTGGGTCCCCTGAGTCTCCCCAGAAACTAGATTTCAGAGTAATCGGGAGCTTGTCTCCCTTTGGGTTGAAAAAAAGTAGCACATCCAATTGCCTGCCACCATCCCGATTCCAGTACCTCAGCTTTTCAGCACTTGTGCATGTCTCAATGGTCTTTTCTCTTTTCTTCTACTTGTAGAACTTTCACTCAGCCAGCTTTCCCACGGTTCTGGGTGATAGACTTTTTGTCTTTTAGTTATAGTTTTGAAATTATTGTGCGAGACAGCAGTTTAGGTGTTTACCTAAGCTGTCAACTTGCTTTCTCTGGACAATAATAGTTTTGAAAGATCAACTTTATTGGAATATAATTTACCCCTAGGAAATCCTGAAGCCCGACTTTTCCTATTGAAAAGGCACTGTAAAAAGCGTGGGTATGCCTGTAAGTTTGGTGTGTTGGAGTCTCGGAGAATCACCAGAGCAGGAAAATGGTGATAAGTTGATGTAGACTCAAATATGGCTCCTGCCTGCTGGCTCTGTGAGGAATGGCCTCTGCCAGCACTTATCTGGCAAAAAGCAGCGCCTCCCTCCCCCAGCTCTCACCCCGATGCCAAACATTCATTTCCTCCTTGATTGTTCCTGGTGCCTTTTGAGCTGCTTGGGATAGAACTCAGAAAGAGTAAGTCAGAGTAAGTTCATGTGCGGGCCCTTTAAGACGAGCTGCCTGGGACTCCATCAGCCCTTCTTCTCACTCAGCCTCAATTCATGGTGGATTTTACAACCAGAAATTACCAGAGATGTCTCTTCCCAGCACTGGAGGCCTTGGATGGGGTTGGGGGTGGAGAGGGGCTGGGATCCCTCAGCGGAGACCTCCACACCTGATATATTTCTTATGATTTTTCTGCCACAAATGGCTGGGGACCAGCCTGTGCTGCATCTCTGCTCCTCCTTACAGCCTTGATGCAGCTACTGCATTAAATCCCTAATTGTGGGATTTCTATTCAGCTAGATTTCAGGTGGTCTGAATGATGGTTGTTCTGTAGTTTAGTTGTAATTTTGATATGGTTGTGGGAGGATACAAATACTATGTTTACCTATGCCACCATCTTGACTAGAAGGATCCTCTTTTTCTTTATCTTTGGAATTATTTTCTTTCTGCTTGAAAGCAGATAGGAGAGGCAGGTGCGACCTTCCTTGTCAGTAGTTCTCTGATGTGAAAAGGGGCAGTTTAATCACTTAAACTGATCTAACCTCTTTGCATTTTACAAAGTTAAAACAGCTAAAAGGAATAAAATAAACCAAACCTTATTGAATGTACAGTGCATATTGGCAGTACCTCCCTAATTATGATTTGCCTGCTGGCAAATCTCCTGTTCACTTGTTTCTTTTGAAAGCAGTGGATTTTTCTGTTGCACTTCTTCAGTTTCAATTTAATGAATTTCTCAGTGTCAGCCATATTGGGTTTGTCTTGTACCTGATATTAAGGGAAATGCTTTCAGTTTTTGCTCAGTAAGTTTCTCTATATGGCCTATATTATGTTGAGATATGCTCCCTCTATTCCCACTTTTCTGAGAGTTTTTATCATGTACAGGTGCTGGATATTATTGAATGCTTTTTTTTTTTTTTTAATGTCTGTTGACATGATCATGTGATTTTTAAAAAATCCTTTTTGTTTATGTGATATACACATTTATTGATTTGTGAATATTTTACCAGCCTTGGATCTCCAGTATAAATCCCACTTGGTCCTGGTATATGATCTTTTTAGTGTATCGCTGGTTCCAATTTGCTAATATTTTGTTAAGGATTTTGGCATCTATGTTCATCTTTGTAATGTCTTTATATAGTTTGAGAATTAGGATAATGCTGATCTAGTAAAAAGAGATTGGGCATCTTCCCTCTTCTTGATTTTTTTGGTATAATATGAGGAGGATAGGTGTTAGTTCTTTGAATATTTGGTAAAAATTGCTTGTGAAGCATCTGGTCCAGGACTTTTTTTTTTACTGGGAGGTTTTTTGTTGTTTGTTTTAAAATGTTTTTATTGATTTTAGAAAGAGAGTAAGGGAGAGGAAAAGAGAGAGGGAGAGGGATAAAGGGGTGGAAACATCAATGAGAGAGAAATATCAACATTGACCAGCTACCTTCTGCACCTCCCTCCCCCCTTGCTCCTCCACTGGGGATTGAGCTGCAACTGGGCATGTTGACCATGAGTCGACCCAGTGGTCTCTTGGTGTATGGGTTAATGCTCAGTCACTGAGCCACACTGGCTTTGCTGCTAGAAATTTTTTGATTACTGCTTTAATTTCGTTAGTTGTTATTGGCCTACTCATGTTTTCTGATTCTTCCTGATTCAGTTTTAGAAGGTTGCAGTTTTCTAGGAATATGTCCATTTCATCCAGGCTGTTTAGCTTGTTGGCATATAGTTGACATGTAGTATTTTCTTACAATCCTTTCATTTTTAATTTTATTTATTTGGGTTCTCTTTGTTTCTTTTTCTTTTTTAAATTTTCTTATTGATTTCAGAGAGGAAGGGAGAGGGAAAGATAGGAACATCAATGATAAGAATCATTGAACAGCTACTTCCTGCATGCCTCCTCTGATTGAACCTGTAACCCAGACATGTACCCTGACTGTAATCTCCTGATTCATAGGTTGAAACTGAAGCACTGAGCCATGCTGGCTGGACTCTTTGTTTCTTCATGAGTATGGCTAAAAGTTCTTCAAACTTGTTTATCTTTTCAAAGAACCAGCTCTTGGTTTCATTGATCTTTTGTGTGTGTGTGTGCGTGTGCGTGTGTGTGTGTGTGTGTGTGTGTGTGTGTGTATCACTTAAGTCATTTATTTCTGTTCTGGTCTTTATTATTTCCTTTCTTTTACATATTCTTGGCTTTTCTTTGTACTTTTTCTAGTTATTTTAGTTGTAGGGTTAGATTATTCACTTGAGATTTTTCTTGAAGTAGGCCTGTAATGCTACGAATTTCCCTCTCAGGACTGCTTTTGCTGTGTCCCATAGATTTTTGGGTTTTTATGTGTTAATTTTCATTTGTTTCCAGCTAATTCTGGTTTCTTCCTTGTTTTCATTGGTAACCCACTCACTATTTAATAACATACTAGCCTCCATGTGTTTGAATATATTTGAGGTTTTTAAATTGTAGTTGATTTGTAGTTGCATGACATTGTGATTCTAGAAGATGCTTGATAGGATTTCAGTCTTATTGAATTCTTTAAGACTAGTTTTGTGTCTTAACATGTGGCCTCATTTGAGAATGTCCCATGTGTGCCTGATAAGAACATATATTCTGTTTTGGTATAAAATGTTCAGTAAATAATTAAATTCCTCAGATCTGGTGTATAATTTAAGGTTGTTATTTCTTTGTTGATTTTTTTTGTCTGAAAGATTTATCCAGTGATGTCAGTTGGGTGTTAAATTCTACTACTTGGACTGCATTGCTGTAGATCAAGCATGTCAAACTCAAAGGCTAACACAGGCCGAATAAACAAGGTTTAAGTTTATGTGGGTTGCAAAAAACCAAAAGCTTCAATTTTTATAGAAACATAGGTTTATTTCAATATAGACATGCTGAATACAAAGGGCTGAAATAAATGAGTAATTGTTAAGATAAAATAATAGAACATTTTAATAAAAATTAACATTTTTTCTTGAACATTAACTTACCAGACACGGAGTAACTGCACAAATTAATTAGCATAAAACAAACAAACCTATTTTTCTTGTTCTCCGAAAGTGAAATATTTCCTGTTTGCATGCCAAACAAGTCAGTATAAGACTAATGACATGGCAATAAGTGCTAAAATATTCGCTGCTAGTATTAGTGGAGAGAAATGGTATGCTTGCATGTAAGGCGTGTAAGGGAAATGAACGCAACGCAATTATAGTAATCAGTCATTAGTGAACATTGCAATTCGTTATCAATAATTATGTATAACAGGATATTTTAAAAATTACAAACGTTTTACTGAAACTTTTTTTTACATGTTATTTTGGCTTGGTTGCAAAAATATGCGTTGTGGGCCGTGAGTTTGACATGCTTGCTGTATATCTCAGAGTCCACCAAAAATATTTTTTAAATGTATTTAGGTGCTCCTATAGTCAATGCATATATGTTTATAAGGGTTATATCCTCTTGTTGGGTTGATTAGTATTATATAGTGTCCTTGTTTGAATCTTGTATGGCCTTTTTTTTTTTTTTTTTTAATATATTTTATTGATTTTTACAGAGAGGAAGGGAGAGAGATAAAAAGTTAGAAACATCGATGAGAGTCATCGATCAGCTGCCTCTTGCACATCCCCTACCGGGGATATGCCTGCAACCAAGGTACATGCCCTTGACCGGAATCGAACCCGGGACCTTTCAGTCCCCAAGCCGACGCTCTATCCATTGAGCCAAACCGGTTTTGGCATGGCCTTTGTTTTGAAGTCTGTTTTTCAGATATAAGAATTGCTATCCCCCCCCCCCCTTTTTTTTTTTTTTTTTTTTAATATTTTGTTCCCATTTGCATGGAATAGTTTTTTTCATCCCTTCACTTGTTCATAGGTGGGTCTGTGTGGGTCATGTTTTCTTATCCAATCATCTACCCTGTGTCTTGATTCCAGGGTTTGGATATAATTTGAATAGGCTCTAGCTTATAATTATTTCTGATTCTTGCACTTGCATCATCAAAATTTAATACTGACTCCAGAGCTCAAGTACATGACAAATAGATTCTGGTTTATCATTATATCTGTCTAAGCATTGCCAAATTCAATGCTTTTAATAACTTTCAGGAGCTCATAATGTTGTTTATTTATTTTTATTTATTTATTTATTTTTAATATATTTTATTGATTTTTCACAGAGAGGAAGAAGAGGGATAGAGAGTTAGAAACGTCGATGAGAGAGAATCATCGACCAGCTGCCTCCTGCACACCCCCTACTGGGGATGTGCCCGCAACCAAGGTACATGCCCTTGACTGGAATCGAACCCGGGACCTTTCAGTCCACAGGCTGACGCTCTATCCACTGAGCCAAACCGGTACCGGCTCATAATGTTGTTTAAAGGTGGCTGTCTCCTTAGCTCCAGTATAGCAAACCATTTTTTATTTTTAGATGATAAACACCTATTAAGCCGAAACCGGTTTGGCTCAGTGGTAGAGCGTCGGTCTGCGGACTGAAAGGTCCCAGGTTCGATTCCGGTCAAGGGCGTGTACCTTGGTTGCGGGCACATCCCCAGTAGGGGGTGTGCAAGAGGCAGCTGGTCGATGTTTCTCTCTCATCGACCTTTCTAGCTCTCTATCTCTCTCCCTTCCTCTCTGAAAGAAATCAATAAAATATATTAGAAAAAAAATAAAAAAGTAAACACAGCTATCCTCTTTAAAAACAAAAAATAAAAAAAATAAACACCAATTAAGATGATCAATCCTATGAAATTTTTGCAGTTTTTATACCATCTGTTTCCTTTTCGGTACCCCCCCTCCACACCTCCCTCCCTTGGTTTTTTTGTTGTTGTTGTTGTTAGTCCTCACCTGAAGATATTTTTTCCATTGAATTTTAGAGAGAGTAGAAGGAGGAGGGAGAGAGAGAGATGTGAGAGGGACACATTGTTCGGTTGCCTCCTTCACACATCGGGGCACAGGATCGAACCTGCAAGCCAGGTATGTGCCCTTGACTGTGAATTGCACCCATAGTCGTTTGTTGCACTGGCCTATCCTCTAACCACTGAGAAACATCAGCCAGGGCCTTCCCAATGCCTTAAATACACACTTTTCTTTACTTGTTCACTTACGAGCCTTATCAATTAAATTTTGGTATACAAACATCATAAAAGATGGAAGAATAATGATACACATTTTGTTAGCAAAATGAGTTAGTCCAGGTTCTTTTCAGAAAATATTTGGAAGTCCTTTCTATTGAATAACTATCTAGATGAGGGTTCTATATTTTTTGTCCTTAGAAATATACTGTTCATTCATTTTCTTGAGTGAAACCATTCATCTGCAGTGGTTCTCAATCTTTTTAATGCCATGACCCTTTAAAACAGTTACTCATGTTGTGGTGACCTCCAACCCACAAAATTATTTTCGTTGCTACTTCATAACTGTAATTTTGCTACTGTTATGAATTGTAATGTAAATATCTGTGTTTTCCTATGGTCTTAGCCTCTACAGCAGCAGTTCTCAACCCACAGGTTGAGAACCACTACAGGGTTGCCTAAGACCATAGGAAAAGACCCTGCTAGCGGTTCTCAACCTGTGGGTTGAGAACTGCTGCTGTAGAGCCTAAGACCATAGGAAAACAGATATTTACATTACGATTCATAAAAGTAGCAAGATTACAGTTATGAAGTAGCAACGAAAATAATTTTATGATTGGAGGTCATCACAGCATGAATTGTTTTAAAGGGTTGCAGCATTAAAAAGGTTGAGAACCACTGATCTAGAGTTATCATCATCTGAAAGCCATAATCTGATTTCTTACATATATGATCACCATCATCATTAGTCTAAACAGTGATTTTCAACCAGTGATAATCTCCCTCCCCCCCCCCCCCCCCCCCCCGCATTCTCCCTCCCTAGGCATATTTAGCAATGTTTGGGGACATTTTTTGCTTGTTACAGCTGGGTTGGGAGGGAAAATAGTCTGCTCCTGGCATCTACTGGATATAGGCCAGAGATACTGCTAAACATCCTACAGTGCACAGAATAGTTCTCCACCGAAAATAATGATCTGGCTCCAAATGTCAATATGCCTAGGTGGAGAACCGTAGTCTAGAAAGCTGCTATTTGATTCTGTGTTATGATGAACAAATTATCACTATAGTAAAAACAATTCTAATCTTTTGCCTTCTTCTTTTTCTTTCAGGATTGGTCCAAAGGAAGATTTTTTCCACTGTTTGAAATGTAATTTATGCCTAGCTATGAATCTCCAAGGAAAGCACAAGGTATCAGTATGCATACTTTTAAAAGTAATAATGGTTTTCTCAAAACTAGCTTAAAACTTAATAATATATTTGGAAGTGTGGGAATTTTCAGTGTTTCTAAGTACAACTATGTTGCTTTTTATTTTTAAGCAGTGTCAAAGAGTAAGTGTTCTTAAATAATGTGCTTGAGAATATCTGGTCTACTATTTATTTTCTTTGTAGTATGTAAGAATACTTATATCAGTTATTAGTATGTTGTTGACAACTTCTAAATGGTTTATGGATTTTTATCATTGGTGTTAGTTTTAAGAAGTTTTTAAAATATGAACTACAGGAGAAATATGGAGCATTGTGATCTGTTAGCACACAGCATTCCAAGAAAATTTAGGAAATAATCTTATATTTTCTTTAATAATTAAACATATTTTTAATCTTGATGTAGCAATTAAATCTTGATGTAATGATCCCAGGCCCTTAAAGTTATTTTTCATTATTTAGAAAAAAAGTAATAAACTACCATTAATAGTACTAATTCTAACTAATATAAGAATTTAGGGAATGGAGAAAATAGTGAGGGTTTTTAAAAATAGATATGAGATAATAACTGGCCTAAAATAGTAAAGTGATAAGAGAAGTTGAAGTGAATAATGAATACTAGTATGTGGGATATGCTGACAAGGCATAAGAGATAAAGAATGGAGCTGAATAAAGATGACCCTCAAGGTTTTTAGCCCTGGCTTATGGTACTTGTTTAATAGATTGTGAATTTTTTTGAAGTAAAAGGATTAAGTTTGGTTATATAGACTTGAGTTTGATAGCAAGATATGCTATGTTTTTTTTTTTTTTTTTTTTTTTTTTTTTAATGTACACATTTCTCTTAGGATATTTTTATTTTGTTTCTTAGTTTTCTTCTGTTTGTATTAGTAAATGGTCCTGCCATCTACTCAAATGCTTTCTTTAAAAATCTGATTATTATTCATGATTTGGTGCTTTCCTTTACCTCCCTATATCTAATTGGACACTGTCTTGTCAAATTAAGAACTCATACCGTGGAGGTATTCTATTGGAACTCAGATATTGTTCTATCTCTTAAAAGATGCAATTTCTGCCGGGGTTGACTGGCAAACCCTGAATGATGGATGAATGATTACTCTGACACACTTTTTTTGTTAAAGAGAGGCTAAGGGGCTAGTTGGCATAAGGAGCCAAAAAAGCCCCATTGCCTTGCCTCCTTAGAGTTTTATTGTCACAACAGCTTGAACTAAAATTACTATTACATACTGTCAGCAGGGTAAGCATCCTTGAGAAAGCATATGTGTCCTTTAAGCAAGGATGTTTTGAAGTCTAAGCATAAAAATTCTAGCAAAACACCCAGGGGCTCAAACTTGTTTAAAAGTAAAGGCAAGATTTGCTGCCTTCGGTAAGGTCCGCCAGAGGCCTTTGACCTTTTAGAGAATTCTCTTTACAGATTTTTTAACCAAGTCCCATGCTTCCTCACAATTTCAGAAATTATTTGGCTTTTGTAGGCCTCAGGTACCTCATCTTTAAAATGGAGTAATAATTATATGTGTTTCATTTAGAGTTGTGAGAATTAGACTAGTACAGATAATGAACTTAGTGTGTAGCATATGGTAAGATCTTGATAATATGAACTATTATTCTTATCAATATTATAAGCAGGTTAGTTTTGGAGTAAAACACATATAAAACAGAAAAGTCCCAAATGTTACTATCATTGCAATTTTGGAAAGTCTTAGGACTCACTAAATTACCTTACCTGTAAAATGAATAGAATTTGAATAATTAAGATATATTAAGCAATTTCATTATTTGAGGTAATATTGCAAAGCCTGAAATAGTTGTGAGTTAAATTGTTCTCCCCTGATATAGGAAACATGAATTAATATTAAATATTATCTTTTTAAAAAATATGTCTTGACTGATTTCAGGAAGAGGAAGGGACGTGGGATGAGAAGGGAGGGAGAAAGTGAGAGGGGGGAGGTAAGAAGGAAGAGGATAAGAGAAAATCATTGAGCTTCCCCTGCACTACTACTACTGGGGATCGAGCCTGGAACTTGGGCATTTGCCCTGACCGGGAATCAAACTGTGACCTTATGTTTCATGGGTTGACCTTTAACCACTGAATCACACCAGCTGGACTGTTAATTATTATCAATAAATTGGTTTTGTTTCTTTTATTTGTTAGTTTTTATTAATAATATTATTATATCTGTTATTTCCATCTAGTTAAGCTTTTGATAATTTGAATTTCTCTTTTAAACAGTGTATTGAAAATGTTTCCCGGCAGAATTGTCCAATATGTTTGGAGGTAAGCTTACAATATTTTTTGCTTTGGAAATAATCCCCTCTTGATTTTAAAATACTTGGTTGTTAATATTATCTTCATGTAAGCAGTAACATTTATTTCTTTTCATAGGACATTCACACATCTCGAGTTGTTGCCCATGTCTTGCCATGTGGACATCTTTTACATAGGTAAAGTAAATTTTTTTCTCCCTCAAAAAATGTTTGGAAATAGTTTTTGTTTTACTAATATAATATTTGTTTTTTTCCCCCCCAGAACATGTTATGAAGAAATGTTGAAAGAGTGAGTGTTTGGCATTTAAAATGTTACAATTGTAAGAGGTCTGGGTTTTTTGTCTTCTTCTTTTTCATTGCTATTAGTATATTGGGCATGACATATTTGTCTTCAGATGGGTAGGGTAGGTGAGTAGTATTAAGCTGGGAAAGCATCTTTGGGGGTATAGGACAGGATGCCTTATCTCATATCCTACAAATGGAGTCAGTTACCTCTAACTTCCTGGATACACTCACTAGGGCGCTCAGTTTCTGACAGAGGCAGTCAGTCATAGCTTTGTAAAATTTTGTGCTAAGGCATGTTGCTCAAAATTCTGTGAAGTGATTATGTTGTCCCAGTATAATAACCTGCAAAGAAAGCTGGTAGCAAGATTATCTAAAGCTGAGACTTTTCTTGAGGGGGAAGGATGTGAAATAGAGATGAGAATAATTAGGAAAGAGGAGATTGTGTAAAATGTATTTTGTTTCTGCAAATTGATGAGCAGTTTTAATTTATAATAGCTAGATAGAAGGAAACTTTTTCAGAATTTTTAGAAAATAATATCTGAATAAATTTTAAGGAATATAGTGTCTTTTTTACTTCAATATATTCAGAAATTGAGGTTGTTTAGCTAAAAAAGCAGCTTAGTTGGTTTTTAAAATATATTAAGTATATTCTGTAAGTACTAGGGACTAATTCCTGTCCATTTTAGAGAACTGAGAAGAAAGAAGTAGGTTTAAAAAATGCCATATGATTCAAGATTTAATTGAAAACTTTCATAGTATAAAAGTTCCCAGGTTTGTAATAGATTGTCTTGAAATACAGATTAATGCCCTTTGTTGAATGGTTTATGCATCAGTTAGCATGTATCTTCTATACTTGAGTTGATATGCTTCTAGTTTAATATTTGGAAAATAACCTTTCTATCTTTTCTAGAGGCTACAGATGTCCATTATGTATGCACTCTGCTTTAGATATGACGAGGTACTGGAGACAGTTGGATGATGAAGTAGCACAGACTCCTATGCCATCTGAATATCAGAATATGACTGTAGATGTGAGTAGAATCAGTGCTGAAAACTTTTCAAATCTTTGTTGATGTTCCTGTTTATTTTTGTCTTTTTGATCAAATTCTTTTTAAAAATACTGCTTTGGCATAGATGCCACTTATGAAAGCCAAATGCTAATAGGAAGAACAGACAAAATAATCTTTAAATTTTAGTTACTTTGAACTAAAAAGACCAGGGGGAAAAGTTCTAAGAATATCTTTGTGCAGTTCTTCCCCACACTAGGTGGCAGGCACAGACTTTATTCTGAACTGTTTATACATTACTTGCCAGGATCAGTAATGTACCTGAGTAGAGGTGAATTATTGGTTTGATGTTTTATTTTCAATTGATTTCAAGTAAACATGTTTGCTGATTTTTGAAGATCACTTTTTGTTTTTGTTTTTAATGTTTAATACCCTGTTTATTCTATGTTACTTAGACTTTTAAATTTGGTCTTATTAGCCTGTAACCTAAAATATAAGAATATATTTCTGTGCCATTTGCCTTATAGAGAATGAACATCTTTTCTCCATTAATTGAGGTGTGGTGCTATCTATTCTCAGCATAGTATATTAAATTATAAGATAAGAATTAGAATTTTAGATAGCTTTCTGGTGCTTTAATAATTTTTGGACATTTACATTTTCTAAACATCATTAGTTTAGTATAGGTACTTCTACACAAAAGGATCAGAACCACTTATGAAAGCCAAATAAAAATTATTTTTGTTGTTTTCACATGAGCATTTTATAATTCATGTGAATAATTGAATTGTTAGTAAGGTCATTGATCACTTTTGGAATACTAAACTGATAATCACATGATGCTTTATTGTAGGCTGCAGTGTGTGATATTCCATGTGGAAGATTTTTTAAAATAACAGCTTTAATAAGATGTAATTCATATACCATACAATTTATCCATTTAAAGTATACAATTCAGTGCTTTTTATCATATTCTTGGAGTTATATAGACATCCTCACCATCAATTTTAGGATATTTTCATCACTCCAAAAAGAAACCCTGTACCTACTAGTAGTCATTCCCAGTTCATTAGCTCTAGGCAAATACTAATCTATTCTCTACATTTAGATCATATTCATAAGAGAATTATTTTCCAAATTATAATTTAGAGTAAATTTGTAAGTCTTCTTATTATGGTGTGTCTTTTTTTTAAAAATATATTTTATTGATTTTTGTACAGAGAGAAAGGGAGAGAGATAGTTAGAAACATCGATGAGAGAGAGTCATCGATCAGCTGCCTCTTGCACACCCCCTACTGGGGATATGCCCGCAACCAAGGTACATGCCCTTGACCGGAATCGAACCCGGGTCCCTTCAAGTCCCCAAGCCGATGCTCTATCCATTGAGCCAAACCGGTTTTGGCTATGGTGTGTCTTTTTTAAAGCTAATGCTTTTCTCACATGATACTGATCAATTTTCAGGGTAACACCTTTTTTATTTTTCAAGGTCTTAGTACTAGAAAAGATTAATCCCTAAATGGCATTTTATTGACATTTTAGGGATGAGCCAAAAGCTTCTCTTTGTTCAATTGTAGAACTACTTTTGAACTTTAATTCATTTTTGAGGCATAGAAGACTAGGAATTTAGTATATTAAACCTAAAGAAAAGGAAGTGGAGAATATGTTGTCCAGCAAGACCTGGTGCTGAAGAAGTCCCTTATACATAAATGGTCAAGTTCCAAGTTTTCCCAATTAAAACACACCCCATTAGCACTTCCAAATACTTGTTTCCCTTAACTCCTTAAAATCCTCTGATTATAAGCCATCAAGGAGTTTGGGCTTTTGAGCAATAGCTTTCCCATTCTTCGTGTGTAGTGTTAGCAGTAAAGTGATTCTAATTTCTCCACTGCCAAAACAAAAAAAACCTAAAGAATAAGCAAAAATTTGTTTTATTAACTAACATAATTTTCTAAATGTTAATGAAAATAATAAAATCATGTATGTTATTGATATTTTGAGTTGAAGTACAGATGGTTCTGGACTTGTGGTGGTTTGATTTATGGTTTTTCAACTTTATGGTGGTGCAAAAGCAATACACATTCGGTAGAAACTGTTCAAGCTAAGCTATGAGGTCCAGTAGGTGTATTTTCACTTTACAGCATTAATTTATAATGGATTTATCGGAATGTAACCCCATTATTAGTCGAGGAGTATCGGTATAGGTGTTGATCTGATAAGTGCCGATGTTACTTTTCATGCTAGTATTATTTGTACTACTCAGGAACTATTTTAAAATAAACTTCTTGGCACAAATCCTCATTTTCATTTTCTTAATTCAGAGTAGCCTCTTAGAGTTTTCGGTGAACAAAAAATAGGGCATTTCTACTTATGGAAATGTTTAGGCACATATATGTGTTTTTACATCTTTAGTATGATTTCTGAGGAAATATTTTGAGCAATGTCACTTTATATTCTCTAAGGTTTAATATGCTTAATTTGAATTCATCTCTTCATTTTTTAGATTCTCTGCAATGATTGCAATGGAAGATCTACAGTCCAGTTCCATATATTAGGCATGAAATGTAATATTTGTGAATCCTACAATACTGCTCAGGCTGGAGGTTGTAGAATTTCACTAGATCAGCAGTGACCAGCATATACTGCACTGGAAAACTCAGCATTTTCTGATAGAAGAAGCTATCTTTAGTATCCTATTGTCATAATGTGTCAAAATCTATGCATTAGAGTTGATGTGTTTTGTACTAGTGTCACAGCATAAAGTCATTTACAGATACTTAAGGATTCAGGGTCTCTTTATAGAATCATCATATCTATATTTAATGAAAGCCACTGCACCTGTGTTTTGATTGAAAATTCCTTTAGTGTCAGTTGTTTGGAAGCCAATGATGTTTGCCACTGAATCTTACATCCATAGAAATGTTATACTTTCATGGAACTTTGCTTTAAGTGGCACTCTGCATGCAGAATTCATTTCTAGTTTGACAGAACTGTAATTAATTCTAAGTATTATTCTTGACTTTTTAAGGGCTGTATTATAAGAAAATGTTCTATCTTACTGTTAAAATCTAATTCCATATGCTTTAGAAATTTGTAAGACAGTCCTTTGGATCTTGTAAATGTGAATTTTGACAGAATAACTGCTAATAAAATTATATTGAAACTGTTTTATAGAAAATTTTTCCCCAAGACTATCTGTTTTTGGCTTAATTATGGCAATATAATCTTATACTGCAAAAGAAATATTCTTTTGTTTTGAGGTGTTCTCCCATAAGATTAGTTGGGAAAAATGTAAAAGAATAGAATTCTTCTAAGTCTTAAGAAAACCATCATCATTGACAATAATTTTGTTTTGGTTATCAAAATAATTTTTTCAAAGAATAATTCATTAAGTATTCAGTGAGCAACTACCTTGTGCTGGGTATGGTTCTATATGCTGCAGAGACAACAACAAAAAAAAACAATATAGTCAAAAATCCCTGCCGTTATGGTGGTACATTCTAGTGTTCCTCATACTTAATAGGCTTCTAATATGTGTGTGTTTTGTGTGCACGTGCGCGTGCGGGTGTGTGTGTTTGTGCATGTAGTGGTTGTCTTTCTAAGTGGGTGGATTCTTTCTTCTCTAAATGCTTACAAGTAGGTTATAGGTTTCTCTTTCATGGCCCGCGTGGAAGGAGTTCTAATTCAGGGTTCGGGTTCTGGAGAAGGCCGCACACAAATGAAGAGACTTGAGACTTGAAGAAATTCAACTTGGCAATATGGGGGGCCAGGCGGTAGTCCAACTCTATTGGGAGAACTACTCCCTGCTCTGGCCCTGCCATCCCCTTTTATTGAGGCTTTAGGGAAAACATCTTAGGCAACATAAACAGAAATTTACATGTAGCTTTTAGGCAGGAAATAACAAACTTACACGGGACAAACAAGGTGGAGGCTGCTTCAGCTAACAATATCAACTAATAGTTAGAGTAATTAAGGTTGTTGACCAGCCTTCCTGGCTTCCTGTCAACATCTCTTTTTAGTGAAATTGATTTGTTTTCCAGGAGTAGGTGAGTAAAAAGGGTACAGAATATTCCTGGCAAGATCTCTTGATTTTTAAATAGTTTTTTGTACTCATGTAGTAGAATTAAATATACCTCTTAATTCAGGAACAATGCACAGTAATACTTGATGATCCTGAACTTTAGAACTAGTATCCCAGTATTCAACTTAGTTTGTTTATAAAACGCTTTATAAGTAAAGTGTCACTCATCAGTCAACTCCCATTACATTTCTAACTTTGAGCTAGTTGAATTTTCTGTGAATAAGGTAGACAGTGTTTTAACTAGAGATCCTAACATTTCTGGAACATTTATTTTTTCTTCTGTTGAAATTTCTTTACCTGGGTAAAGGCAGCAGTATTGATTTCCAGTTTGGGGCCTGGACCTTCTCTATTCTATGTTGCCTTCCTATCTTACATGTTCTACTCTTGCGATCACTCCCTTCACTTGTTTCTTTGGCCTGGGCAGGGGGGCACTATCAATCTTGATTTGGGGAAGCAATGGGATATCTTGTTCGGTGTTACTGTTTGGAATACAGATAAGGAAAGACTAGTTTTCTAGTTGTAATACTTTTTGTCTCTGTTATCCTGCTAAACTAGTTAAGTCATATGATTGCTTTTAATCATAGTCACTGGATCTTTAAATAGGAGTATAGAAGTTCTGTGTTTTGAGAATCTACCATGTGCCAGGCTTATGCATTAGTGTTAATCATTACAATAATTCTGTAGCATAGGTGTTGTCTTCATTTTATTGATGAGAAAGCTGATGTTCAGAGGTTATATGACATGCTTAAGTAAATTACAGGTACTATCGATAAATGTTGGAGCTGGGAATCAGGTCCAGACATGTGACCCCAAACCCACTGTACCACACTGCCTTTGACTCAAACTTCTATTTTTGTCAAAGTAGTCCTAATAGTCATATATTATGGAGGAGCTCTTGATTTGTTAGACTTTCCAGTTTTAGATGTCTTTCTTTTTTTATTAACAACTGTTTAGTTTTTATTTCATAATCATAAAGTTAATTCTGCAATCTAGCTAGACTGGGAAGGGGTAAGGAAATTGTGGAACCCAATAAACTTGCAGGAACAAAGATTATAGAACATTCCAAGCAAATTGGGGTGAAGGGGTGCTCTCCTTACCTACAGAAGGAATGGTTTGGTAATAAAGGTAAAACACAAGTCAAATTTATCAGAGTTGTCCACAGTCAGCAATGGTGATCTTGCAAGTCTTGCCATTCCTGGACCCAAAGTGCTTCATGACTGTCACAATATCCATGTCTTCTTTCAGCTGGCCAAAGACCACATGCTTGCCATCCCACCATTCAGGCTTGGCAGTGCAGATGAAAAACTGGGAGCTGTTTGTGTTAGGTCCAGCATTTGCCATGGACAAGATGCCAGGACCTGTACGTTTCAGGACAAAGTTCTCATCCACAAATTTCTTCCTGTAGATGGACTTGCCGCCTATGTCATGTGGCAGGTGAAGTCACCACCTGGCTCATAAATCCTGGAATAATTCTGTGAAAGCAGGAACCTTTATAACCAAATCCTCTTCTCCCCAATGCTCAGAGCACGGGAGTTTTCTGCTGTCTTTGGAATTTTGTCTGCAAACAGCTTGAAGGAGATTCGGCCCAAGGGCTCGCCATTGACAACAATGTTGAAGAACACTGTGGGCTTTGTCATGGCTGGTCACCGGGTGGCTTCTGGGCGGAGGTGTCTGCAAAGCTAGATGTCATATTTTAATTCATAATCTGATTACTCAAATCTTCAACTCAGGATTCAAATTTGTCCAAAATAAGCAGATTAATAAATGCTATGATATCCACTCATGTGCTTGAAGCAGTTTTCAAATGCCCTTGAAGTCAAGGCTTCAAAGATTTGTTCATGACATGTCAATTCACTTCTCATTCACTATCATAAGTGCCTTAGCATTCAGTATGTAATAACTTAAAATGGAAAGTCTTAATTTTGGAGGGGCCTTTCCTGATTCAAGAATTTTTTTATTGTGGGAAATATGTAAGAAGAAGATAGTCCTGGCTGGGTTGCTCAATTAATTGGAACATTGTACCCTTCACCAAAGTGTTGCAGGATTTGATTCCTGGACAGGGCATAAACTTAGGTTGCAAGTTCAATCCCCAGTCTGGTCGTGTACAGGAGGAAACCAATCAATGTTTCTCATTTCAATGTTTCTCTCCTTCCCTCCCGCCCTCCTTCCTTCTCTAAAATCAATAAAAAACATACTTGGGTAAGGATTAAAAAAAAAAAATAAGGCAAGTTTCATCTTCCAGAGATAACTACTGTTCATATTCTAACAGATAACTTCATTATTTTCTTTTCCTGTTCATAGAGACTTAAAAAGCTTACAGGAATGTATGCCAAGTCTGGTTTTAGAAATTTTCTGTTCCTGATATAAGGAACAGAGTAACTGTCTCTAATTTGTATCTTAGTATACTTATTTTAAAAACCAGTAACTAAATATGTTTATGAATTTTTTTTAAGGGGAGGGCATCAAGAGTTCAGGTGGATTAGTTTATTATTATTTTTTAAAAATATATTGAGTTTTTACAGAGAGGAAGGGAGAGGGATAGAGTTAGAAACGTGGGTGAGAGAAACATTGATCAGATGCCCCTCCTTCTCTCCCCCCCCCCCCCTACTGGGGATGTGCCCGCAACCAAGGTACATGCCCTTGACCAGAATCAAACCTGAGACCCTTTAGTCTGCAGGCTGACACTCTATCCACTGAGCAAGGCCGGTTAGGGCTGAATTTCTTGGTGCATAGAAGCTCAGTTGCCCCTTGTATTATTAAAGAAGTGTACATAGATTATTTCTTATCTCTAGAAATTACAAGAGAGTCTTAAGTGTAGGGAGCTGTATGTGAAACTAACTTTTGCTCATGTTTGAAGTAAATAAGTGAGGAGCCCTTAGAACAACTTCCAGGCAATTTTTTAGCTTGGTTCTGCCACTCACGGACCACAAAAGTGTGTTTTGGAGATGGGTGAGCTTGTGACTTACGCATTCTCTATTTTAGAATCAGTAGATAAGTACATTCCTTTGGGTGTCAACAGGCCGGCTCTATGACCCCTGGGGTAATGCCTGACAGTTCATTAAGGATTGCCCTTGTTTAGATGTTTCTTAGGCCTGCCAAGCATTTGCTCTGGTAAACCTCTGATCAGGATCCGAGCTGGTTGCACTTGTTTTCTCCCAGGGTCAAAACTTCCCTTAATCACCCACCTGCTTCTAACTATTGTCCTGTTTTCACTCCTCTGGCATACCATATTTTTTCATGTATAAGATTCTATTTTTTTTTTCTAAAATCGTTAGACTAAAAATGGAGGAGAATCTTATACACGGAAATCAGCCCAGGAGGGAGCTAGCAGGTGCATAGCTGCCCATACCTTGTTAAACAGGCTTCCTCCAATCATGAGCCTTATTACTGACATCAGTTGATGCCATAATTGGAGGTGGAGGTGGAGGTGGAGGTGGAGGGTGCACAGATGCAACAGGGACTGGAGAGTTCTGAGCCCACGAAGCTGTCAAAAAATAAGATAAATACTGGTAAGCAATTGTCTTACTCTGCAAAATTCAAACTGAATGTAA